GTATCTAGCTCCTCTCTTGTGTATAGGATGTCAAAGCCCAGAACTGCAGTGCATCACACATTATGCCAACCCAGATTAGCCACATATCCAGAAGCTCCAACCCAGGCATCTCAAGCCCAGAGTCACTCTACATCATACCTTGTGAAGTGTGTTTTCTCTACACTGCTCCATGTGCTTCTTGACCCTTGTCACTCCTTATATAATAAACATTTTTAGCTGGGTATATGGCTTAGTGGTAGAGCACTTGCCTAGCATGCACAAGGCTGCCAAAAACCACCACCATCAACAACACTTTTGGAAATTGCATGTTGTCATAATTTACTTTGAAGACTATGTTTTCATCTTGAGTTTTCTTTTTCAAGCTTACTCATTATATATACTTAAAACAGAATTGAATAATCTCTTTACATATACACATATACACGTGCACATGCTTATTTTGCCCTGCCTTTGCCTGTACTTTTCCCATGATAAAGGGAAAATTTAAATGCAGTGGTTTTATTCAATGAGCTTGAGTTTGGTAGATTAGCCTTGGAATTACCTTTGCCAGACTACAAAGGGGAAGCTGCCAGAGAGGTCACTGTGACATTATCAGTCTGAAACAGTGAAACATTCCTTGTGGATTTTGTTAGAAATGGGATTAAAGTTTTACAGAGATATTATTTCTCACGAGAATCCTTCCCCCCTTTGCTTGAAGTAGTCAAGGTGATATGAGACCCAGGTCAGAGCACAGTGAAATGAAGGAAATATTCTTAACATTGCAAAGTGCTGTTTTTTTATCAAATATGAAATTGTGGGCAGGTGTTATTTTAATGAAGAAGTATTTTTTCCTAACAATTAGACTTTCTATACTGGGAGGCAAATAGTAGATTGATCTGTATGTAGTGAAAGGCCATTTAAATGTATACTGTATTTAGAGGAAGATTATATGTACATTTTCATAGCACCACAGAACTTTAGACCTGAAGGAAATGAAAATTCCAGCTAATTTGTTACCTATTTTTTCCACATTTACTCTTTCTTCATACCCTTTACACATTCAATGATCATTACTCATTTTTTTCCAGCTATTTTGCATGTTAACTTAGTTGCCAAACTTTGACTCCAAGGAGAGCAATATTGCTATGTCTCCAAAATATTTATATGTGAGACCTATCTTTTAGATGGTTACATCCTGAAATACGCATGGTCACACATATGTCACTTAAAATACCTATCACTGTTCTGTGTTCCAGGCCATTGAGAGTTAAGACAAAATCTTCTCTACAACCACCAACCTTTATTCTTTTGGGTGGGTAGATTTTATATTTTGTTTTTCTAAACAAGGGAAAACAGTTATAGTTCCACCTCTTATGTGCTTCCTCCCCTATGAGCTATAAGCTCAGTATGTGCACATATGTAAGATTTCAAGTGCAAACGAGAACAGAGCAGGAAACAGATTTTCACAGTCGCCGTCTGGGTCCTTGTGTAAGTGCCAATGTAAAGCTACTCGCTGATCAGTGAAACACAGTATAATGTTGCCTGGCTCTAAGGAAATGGATTTGAAAATCTAAACTTCATAAGCAGATCAATTGGGTGGGGATTTGAGATTATTGTATCACATTCCAATGACATGAAGTGTTGTCAAAAAGGTTTTTTTTTTTTCTCCAGAAATAAATTACAAGAGGCATAGAGATACCTTTCAAAATGTCAGGAAGGAGTTGAGAAAAATTTAGTTAAGAATAATGAAAATATATCATTTATATTCCAGGAAGCATACACCACAAGTGTCTGGGGTCTAGGTATCTCAGGGTGAATGGCAAGGTTCAGGAGGTTGAGGAAGGAGGGAGCTTTGCCCTGAATCCAAGGAGGTAAATGGTTAAAGTGAATGTCTGGAAAGAAGAGGCTTGCTGGATTGAGATGTGAACTTCTAGTCTCAGGAGGTGACAGATTACTCCTCAATTTTTAGAAGATAATAGTAGCTAGGTGTGCATTCTTCAGCAGAGCAAGGGGAAGCTGTGGTAAAAGTCTTGAGGAAACCCTATCTTCCTCCCATTCATTCATCCTATATATAAGAGCTAGTTTGGAGTGATGTTTCAGATTTTCCACATTTGGGGAATTTCTATGTACTCTTCAGATGTTTTGCCACCAACTTTCAGATGTCTGAAATTTCTTTAGCAAGAGACAAGGCATTTCATTCCATAGTTGGAGGTAAGAATTTCTTTATCTGTTTCTCTAACATATTGAATAGCATTTGGCTAAACTCAACACTTATTGGGTACCTATTCAATGCCTGGTACTAATGAGAGAGAGAGAGAGAGAGAGAGAGAGAGAGAGAGAGAGAGAGAGAGGAAAAGAGCAAATGAAAGTGAGTTTGCTACCATCCCCTGAACATGGACTCCTACAATGCAATGGGAAGTAAGTTCCATTGGGTTGAGGCTGCCCTGTGTCTTTCTCACCATCGTGTTCCCTGCATTTATCATAGCACTCAGTTCATGACAAAGGTTAATTATTTTTGCAAGCAGATGGATCTACAGATAAATGTAGTATTGGAAAGTTTATTAAAAAGGTATGTGCAAGACATAATGCTGATGCAGAAGCAGTGAACAATTTTGCCTTGGAAGGGGCAGGATGCAGATAAGGTGAGACTTCATGGTGAGATATTTGATCCAGATCATAAGAGACAAACAGAGGTTTCCAGAATGGCACTCAGCCAGAATACAAATAATAAGTTTGGGCAAAGTTCAGAAGTGTATAATGGCCTGAAAGTTCAGGGAATCGCAAATAATTTGGCAATACTGGATCCAAGAATATTGGGAGTAGATGAATTGTGGCAGATGTGGATCATATCATGAAGGGTCTCTACCAATAAGTAGCATTCCCCATTGAAGTCAAGATAGGTACTCCCAGCTCCTGGGGGTGGATGTGGAGAAATAAGGAGCAGAGGAGTCTTCTTTATCTTACATTTTAAACTGCAGTTGATCTTCTTTACCTTAAATTGTATTGTGATTTACAAGCTAATTAGGGAGAGATTTCTTAATATGGAAACAACAGCCTGATGAGCTATACTTATACTGCAGTGTAAGCCATGCATATATGATATACTGATGCTGTAATGAGATTTTTGTATGTTTCAAATGCATTAAAAGAAAATTTTATATTTTCAAAGTCAGTTTAGACCCAAGTGATTGTGTAATAGATACAGCACTTTACAAAGGAATCTATTTTTTAGTGAATGGAATTTCTGCCTGGTTCCTTGGAACAGCAATTTCATCTAGGATTTAAAATAGTTCATTTACACATGACTTTCCAGAGACTTGTCCTGTCTGTAAGTCAACAAACCCAAAATGGCTGAGCTTCCCTACAATATGCCTATGGTGAGAGCAAACATGACTTGGATTTCATGTACTACCAAATGCTTACCTCGGCCGGGTGCTGGGGAGGGTGTGTCATTCTTGTACAGACATCTGCCAGAAAGACTGCAGAAGATGAGTGCTGTGTCATTGCCTTGAAAGGAAAATCCCTAGTAGAATTTTTATTTAGTTTCTTTAGACTGTGTGTATTTAACTCTATGGAGCACACCTCTGCTTTAAATAAGGAGCTCTGCATTAATAAATGTTTTTTTTTTTTAAACTTAGTTTTAGACATACCTGTGATTATTTTAAGCAACTTTGGGGTCATGCTAAATGGAAACTTGAGGAATTGCTCCGCTTCCTTTCTATGCCCAGCTCAACTGCTGCTCCTGTTATTGTTGTTTTCTTTCCCCTCCTACTCATCCTGTTAATTTTTGGACATATTAATTCCAGAATAATAAAAAATTTTCATGTTGAGGTTTAATATGTGTTCCCCACTTGGTGGCATATATAATTTTGGGGGGAAGATTCTTGGCTGATGGTATTAATTCAGAGGTTCTGGAATAAGATATTTGTGGGGAGGGATGGCAGAGTCTTAAGTCATTGATTCTCTCTTTATAACTTTGCCCTTTTAGCTGGAACAGATTGCTTGTGTAGTGCTTCTAGCCGTGCACAGGCTGAATCACAAGGAAGAAACTTTACATAAACCATTTATACTAAATGTTTGGTATGCTGGCAACATAAATCAACAACAATATCCATTACAAATTCATCCCTTTATCAGTATTATCTTGATAGAACTGATCCCAATGTGTGGGAATTTGAACTCTGCTTCAATACATCTAGCCCTGGATAATTAATTATTCAGGGCACAGAGAACCTGGCCCCAGCAATGTAGAGTAATTCTTCCTGGTCAGCGTTAACTCCACTGGCAATAATAAATAGAAAAAGTCTCCAGTGATGTCAGTATTTTAAAGTGATTAATCATCTTTCCCCCTTCTCCTCCCCCTTAGTTTTCTTTAACTAGGATTTTTCAGCAATAAATCTTTAACAATACAGGTAGGAATTGTTCTGTAATTAAATTTTGCCCTGCTTAATTTCTTACCTTTTATGTGCGATTAAAAAAAAGTGTTACATTTTAAGGAGCCCTGATCAAAATTCAAACCAAGAAAAATCCTTTTATGGAATATGGCGAGATTTTCTATGGAAGATTAAGCTCTTGATTTTGAATATTAGATAGAGCACATACTCATAAAAATTGTTCATCAACACCAGTTGGGGTGTCAAATATTCTAAAGTTTTGAATTGCTTCACTTTCATGCTTATGGTTTTTCTGTATTAGGAAAAGTCTGACATATACATCTGTTCCCACATGGAGAGAATAATTAGTTATTTCTTAACTTTCAGATAATTGATGTCAGCTCTGTAGGAAGGGGATATTTTTCACCATGTTTGTGGCACAAAATGTATTTACTGAAGTGGCAGGTGAAGACCTGACTGAGAATGACCATGTATTTTCAAATAGTGCCCTGTAGAGCTGCCCAACCATCATGTATATTCTGGGTGACAGGGACAGATGTGACATATCTGTTGTGACACACTTCTGTACCACCAGTCTGTGGCTCGAGGTGACTCCTGTCCCTCCCCTGATGCTTTTTCCTGCTGCAGGACAACACAATGATGCACGGATGAACCTTGCCATTGCTCTCACTGCTGCCAGGTATGGGGCTGCCACAGCCAATTACATGGAGGTAGTGAACTTGCTCAAGAAGACAGACCCCCAGACGGGCAAGGAGCATGTGAGTGGTGCACGGTGCAAGGATGTCCTCACAGGTATGCCATGTCTCGGAGCGGGAGGTATTTCTTAGAATCTTGCCTTGCTTGTATAATGACTGAATTATAATTTTTCTGTCACTTTTCTTCCATTTAACCCAGGCTTCAGAGTCATATTAATTATATTCCTTATTGTCAATAATGACTGGTTTTACGTGAAAATTTTTCCCTTGTAGGAATTGGCAATTTTCCCCTTTGTGTTAAATAATAATAATAATAAGGATAATAATAAATGCCCACAAAATTCTCACAGATATGAATGCATTCCATTTTCTTTACAAAAACATATAATTAATAAAATTAAATAAATGTACCAAGTTTCAAAGTATCACTTAGGTGACACAGGCAGTGCATTTACATGTCATTAAAATCAATCACCTTTAACTTTTGTTAGATTCTTTCTTGTCCTGGTCCTATGGCCATACAGGCAGCTGCAAAATTACATTATTTCTTGAACAAAATTAACACTGGGAAGTGTGTTGTCTCATGGCGCAGCTGTTTACACATTTGAGTTTTTAGGAGAAAGTGACTTATTTATTCTCATTCCACTTTCTTCATGTGTGGCACCTTGATCCTGAGCATTTTATAAATAGACTGAGCACCACAATGAAAAAATGGCATGCTTTCTCTTTAATTTGGACTTGTTTTTGGTAAATTTACAGGAGTGAGCCTTTTGTTTGGCTCTTCAATAACTCTGGCTGCTCATGTCACTTAGTGTGGTATGCAATATACTTCGCCATAGGTTAAGTTAATAGATGAATTAATAATCCACAGCATCAGTGAACAGAGAAACAAATAGGGTGTGTGATTGATGCTGCTTTCTTTCACAGGGCAGGAATTTGATGTGAGAGCCAAATGTGTTATCAATGCTACGGGACCTTTCACAGACTCTGTGCGCAAAATGGATGATAAGAACGCTGCGGCTATCTGCCAGCCAAGTGCTGGTGTCCATATTGTGATGCCTGGTTACTACAGGTAACTGTACTCCATCTTGTTGTTCCTCACCTGGGAAAGGGCACAAGCGATTCCCTATGCATTTAATTTCTTCTGGTACACTCTTCTTAATAATAGATGGCCTAACTTGCTGTTCTAAATGAGGAGAAAATGATGGAACTCTTCTAACACAAAATATAAACCAGGCTGGGGAAAATCTTAGCCACTTATGGCAGTAATCATTTTTAAAGTCTAATGGGGATCTATTTTTTTTTTATAGTGTATTTTGTTCATTATAGTCACTTTTACAGATTAAATGTTGGTATTTTAAATTCTATTCTTAATAAGATATTAAAATTTAATCTCGTCAAACTTCCATAAAGGATGTTTTAATTAAATCATTAAGAAATTAATTTTGTCAAATATTTATCCTTATGAGCAAGTTGGAAATATTAGCCTCTTAGGTATTCTTCAGTTTTTAACTTTATAAATATGTTTTTAAAACTCAGATGTAATTTTCAGAATATCAAATTAGCAAAGATAAGTAGGGATGGAGAAGGGAGTAGGGGTAGAGATGAAGTATCGCTATTAATTGAATCTCATTTAAGTGGGGTGATGGGTACACAGGAAACCATAAAAACTCCAACTTTTATGTGTTTTTGAAAATTTAGAAGAAATATGTATGTATTTCTTGTCAAATTATTAATAATGATTACTCCTAATGTATATTTTAAGACATCTGTGGAAAAAGTCATATGACTGTGCCAAGAGTACAGAATTTATATGCTGTTGTTAATTCCATATGTGTTAAATCTAGTAGGCAAATAGTAATTCTACATGAAATAATGAATTATATGCAAAGATATTATGTCATAATTTGTTCTTAAAAAAGATTAGAAACCACTTTATTTCCTCACCTTGGGAGAAAATAGATTATGGCCTATCTAGACAAGGGAATATTATGTAGTCAATAAGAATTAAAATTATAAATAACTTCAGTTGTCCTAGGAAAATGCTAATAATACAATGTTAGTTTAAATTTGAATTCATATTGTCCTAGGAAAATGCTAATAATACAATGTTAGTTTAAGTTGCAAGACTAGAGATGACATATGTAATAAGATCTATATTTCTACATGTTTTCTACAGATAGAAAAAGACTGGAAAATATGTTAAATATTAATGGTGTTTATCTGTAATGTGATTACATGTGAGGGTTATTTCCTTCCACATTGTTCTAATTTTTCATAAAGAAACATAAGCTTTTTTTTTTTTTTTTTTGTAAACTGGGGATTGAACCCAGTGGCACTTTACCTCTGAGCTACATCTACAGGGCCCCACTTTTTTAATTTTTAATTTTGAGACAGGGTCTCACTAAGTAATTTAGGGCCTTGCTAACTTGCTGAGAGTGGCCTTAAACTTGTAATCCTCCTGCCTAGGCCTCTTAAGTCGATGGGATTACAGGTATATGCCATCATGCCTTGCCTTCATAAGGCTCTTTTTTTTAAAAAAGAATATTTTTATTAATTGTTGATGGTTCTTTATTTTATTTATTTATTTACATGCGGTGCTGAGAATTGAACCCACTGCCTCACACATGCTAGGCAAGGGTTCTACCACTGAGCCACAACCTACAGCCCAAGGCTTTTAATATGAAATAAAATAGATGTGCAAAAATTAGATACTTGGTATTCTCCTAGAAATGCTGTCCTGTTATGTTTTAGATGATGCTACCTTATTCATTATTGGCTCTCCAGTAATCAGATCTTTCTGAAGACAGTATAAGAGACACCAAATACACTTTTTTTTTTTTGCGATGGGGTGCAGAGGCACTTGACCACTGAGCCACATCCATAGCTCTATTTTTTATTTTATTTAGAGACAGGGTCTCACTGAGTTGCTTAGTGCCTCACCTTTGTTGAATGAGGTGGCTTTGAAATCGAAATCTTCCTGCCTCAGCCTTCCAAGTCACTGGGATTACAGGCATGCACCATCCTGCCCAGCCATACCAAATACACTTCTACTCAAAGTATATTCAAGAGAACTTATCTCCCAACTTCCAAAGTTTCCTACGCATTTTCAAAGCTGGAAACACCAATGTAGCTCTAATTTTGATAATAAAAATGTATGCATCGGTACCTAATTGAGTTTTAAAATAGTTTCAGATGCAATTATATACAGTCATTTTTGTGTTGGATTAAAAATATTCATGGCCTGATAGTTTATGAGAGTTTTTAACATCTGTGAGAACAGTGAATACAGGTGTGTAATTATCAAAATTCTTGTATTTGTTTAGATTTACTAAATTCAACATATTCTTATGCATATTTTGTCTTATGTTTTCTTCAGTATTGTCCTATGATGTCAGAGGACATTTTATTACCTATTATTCCCCAAAGGCCTTAGGTTAATTCTGTCACATAATTACTGCATTCTTTGGGACAAACCATTTTCTTTTGTAAATGCACCATTAAAATAGGAAAGCAATCAGTTATTTCAGAGTACATAGGCAAGGAGACAGGACAAGAGTTAAGCCAAGGTCAGACCTTGGCATAGAACTTCCTGGTTTGTTCACCTTCTCTTCTACTAATTGTGTGACCTTGGGTAAGGTATTCCTTTCTGCTTCTGATTCCTTATTTCATATAGTATCTAACTTCTATTAAGTCTGATAATGATTTCTTTTCCTGGTACCAGGGATTGAAAGAGGTGCTTAAGCAGCAAGCCACATTCATACCCTGTTTTATTTTTTGAGACAAGGTCTTACTAAGTCGCTTATGACTTTCCTAAGTTGCTGAGGCTGGTTTTGAATTTGTGATCCTCCCAAGCTGCTGGGAATACAGGCATGCACCACCACATCCAGCTTTTTAAAAAGATTTCAGGGTTTTTTTACAGGAAGATGCGGGTACCAGGGATTGCACTGAGGGGTACTCAATCACTGAGCCATATCCCCAGCTCTATTTTTTATTTAGATACAGGGTCTCACTGAGTTGCTTAGTGCCTTGCTTTTGCTGCAGCTGGCTTTGAACTCCCTATGCTCCTACCCTCAGCCTCCTGAGTCGCTGGGATTACAGGTGTCCGCCAACACACCCAGCTAAGATTTTTTTGGACAATGATCTTTGATTAATTTTTATCTGTTTTGTTGACTCTATTTCCTCAAATCTTGGTAGTTTCTAGTTTATAATAATGCCCATAGTTCCCCCCCCCCATACCATGCTGGTGATTTAATCAAGGCCCTTACACATGCTGAGCAAATATTCTACCACTGAGCTACATCTTTAGTTCTGCAATAACTAATTTTTGAATGAATCCTAACTTTTTTTTGTATCCACTTGCCCAAGTTGAGATAATTGCTTTTTTATATTAAAATGTTAATATAACATTTGTTACATTTTGGATCAGGAATGTTCCCCAAAGACTCATGTGTTAAAAGCTTGGTCCAGTGTGGCACTAACGGGAGGTGGTGGAAAGTTTAAGAGGTGGCCTAATGAAAAGTCTTTAGGTCTTTGGAGGGCCATGAATTTGAAGGGATTTGAGGGATTCTGGCCAATTTCTCTCACTCTCTTTGAACCCTGGCCATGACGTGAGTGATTGTATTCTGCCACTTGCTTATCCCATGATGTGCTGCCTTGTCCCAGCCACAGTGTCTGCTGCTAATGAACTGGAACCTCCAGAACTGTAAGCCTAAATAAACTTTTCTCTTTATAAGTTGATTATCTCAGGTATCTTTAATAGTGATGGAGCACTGACTAATGCAACAGTTATAAAGGTCTTTTTTAATATGGGAACAAAATACAATTCTTCATCTTAATTCCCAGATAATCCCTATAGACAAAAATAAATAAGTAAAATGAACATAAGTGATTAATCAGAGATTTCTATCATTCTGAAAAGAGAGAGACAGTGAAAACCTTTTCCTGGCTTCATTCAGTTTTCTGAAAGTCAGTAATCTTTAAGTTCTTTCCATAAAAGTGTATGCTTTTACTTACACATGTTTGTCCTGTTACAAAATTTGCAGTAGAGTGGTCACATGATAGATATTGTTCTATAGTGTGTCTTGTGTATTTTATAACAAAATAGATAAGTTTTTAAATAAGAAATATGTACATATATATTACCTGGATATAATATTTTCAAAACAAAAAGACCGTTTAATCCTAAAAATTTAGCATTAGCCTTAGAACCCCTCTCCATAGATCATTAAAGTGTTAGATCACAGCTAAGTCTGTTTTGGTCCAAAATGCAGTAAATGATTTTTCTTGAGAAAAAATAGTATTTTTATTGGTAGCACTGTGAACTACAGCCACTGTATATGGTGTTGCTGAGGAGTGGTCCACAGCCTGGCTCCCATTCTGGCTCTGTTGCAGATGAGTCTCTTAGCTGTGGACTGTGGCCTGGAGTAAGGGTTTATTCCTTTTTTTTTTTTTTAATTGATGACCTTGAGGCAAGGACAGCTCTGGCCTACCTCAGGATTGATTTGCCTCTCCCCATCAAATCATTCTCTTGGGTGGGGTCAGAAGATCTCAGACTGAAATGAGTCTCTGACCTCATCAGTCAGTCACTCTCAACAGTTGTGACTTGAGGTTCTGACCAGGTCTGCAGGGATGAACCAGAGCTGGTATGAACCTTCTAGGGCTGCCCTGCACCAGGCTGAGGAGAACTTAAGACCCAGTGTGGCAGTTGCAGCCTGATTAGTTTGGCATTTCAGAGTTTCGTAGCCACTGATTTATCAAGTATAGGATGGTAAATCAAGAATGAAGGCTGTGCTGTGTATCTTGTCAGGCCATTTTCCGAAGCATCTTTGTGTCATTTGTAAATTTGTTTTAACCTTAACTAATGTTTTACATGTAGAATTATATTGCATTATGGTAATAGCTTTCTTTCTTTTCTTTTTTTTTTTTTTTTTTTTTTTTTGGCAGGGGGAGGCAGGAGGAATTGTTTCAATTTCAGAAAAATCCATAATACAGAGATCAGTTTCTTAAAAGCACTCTTTAAGTTATATAAAGAATAAATCTGTAATTTTCATCAGAATTGTGGCTAGGTGCTCTTCCCAAAGCAGCAATAATATACCAAATTACTAAAATACATGAAAATAATCTCCCCCTTCTTCCTACTGAATCTTTTTCCTGCTGACAACAGATCAATTTTTTTTTTGCATATTGTGTACATACCGTTAGCTCTAACACTGATTGCTAAGTAGTTAACAATAAATTGATTTCAGTTTAACTAAAGGTACTTCAGGAAAGCAATGGTCTGCAAGAGAAAAATGTTCATTACCTTTAATCCTCGACACACACTTAAATTTGCTAGCTTTTCCCTCTGATGTCAAATGAATCATTCAAATTGAAACGAGACCTGTGCCACACTGCATATGTACCATTACTATAGTTGATACCGTTATCGAACTTTAGTGTGACCTTGCAGAATTAATCCTTCATAGGAAAACAAACTTTTCTTCCCTAAGGAAGAGTATGAATTAGGTAATTTAAAACTAATGAAAGATATTTCCAAGTGGATTCTTAAATTTTTATACCATTCATTAATAGTTTTGTCTTCCCTCTGTGCTTATTAATTTTATGTTTGACACATATGTCTTCACTTAAGCAGTTGATTCTCTACAGGTTCCAGTTACGTGTGTGTTGGTAACCATCACCTTCACCCTTTAAACTGCTTTTATTGCACTGAAATTTTTAAAGGATTCAGTAGCTGTGCTTTGCTAACTGCATTTCTTATCTAGGTTGTTGAATATTAGAATTATATAAGTTTTTCTGGTTCATTATTTTAGGTATCTATGTTTTTGGTCCATGAGATGGTTGCACCTAAATTATATCAGCATATAATTTATTTCTCAAATGTTGGAGTATGAAATTTATTATTTTTCTTCAATTATTTACAAAATTAATTGCTTGATCTCTGAATGTGTTAATTTCCAATCTCAAAGTAATTTATTTACTTAAGGATATCTCACTCATGATCAAAATAGGTACCTATAATACTTGTGATTAACTATGTTTAAGATTTTTAGAGTTTTATAACAAATACAAAGAAAAAAGGGTATAGTCATATTTAGAGTTCAAAAATACTCAATATTCAAAGCTTTTTTATATATTTAAGTGAAAGTAGTTTCCTCCAAGTAACACTGAGTGAAGGTGAGAATCTTTGCTGAAGTTCTAAATGATTGGCACACTTCTTTGGTGCTGTTTGGATTTCCAAAGTGGAAGATCTGTTCCATTCTCTCTCTTTTTTTTTTCGTCTCACTCTTAAATTTTTTTTCTTTTTTTTTATTAGATGCTCAAAACATTACAGTGATCTTGACATCATATATTTGATTCAAATGGGGTATGAATTCTTATTTTTCCACGTGTACGGATTGCAGTATCACATTGGTTTTATAGCCACGTTTATCCATACAGCCATACTAGTGTCTATTGTATTCTGCTACCCTTCCTATCCCCCCTCCCCTCCCCTCCCCTCCCATCACCTCTCTCTACCCACTCTACTATGACACTTTTCTCTCTCTCTCTTTTTTCCCCCTCACATCATCTTATATGTAATTTTGCATAACAATGAGGGTTTCCTTCCATCTTCTGTGCAATTCCTTTTCTCTCTCTCCCATTCCCATGCATCTCTCAACCCTATTTAATGGTAATCTTCTTCTCATGCTCTTCCTCCTTGCTCTGTTTTGAGTCAACCCCCTTTTATCAAAGAAGACATTCGGCATTTGCTCCTTAGGGATTGGCTAGCTTCATTCAGCATAATCTGCTTTAATGCCATCCATTTCCCTCCAAATGCCATGATTTTGTTATTTTTTAGTGCTGAGTAATATTCCATTGTGTATAAATTCCACATTTTTTTAAATCCATCTATTGAAGGGCATCTGGGTTGGTTCCACAGTTCTGTGTCCATTCTCTACTGTGCCTCTTAGGATAAGCTCTTGGTAGTGATGCAAAGACAGAGGAGATATGACAGGTTTTTATGGGCTTGAGGGTTCCTTGCCTGAAAGATTAGTATTCTTTGTAGTTATTTAAATAAAGGAGATACATTTAGCTATGCTGACTGTAGATATTTTTTTTTT